CCACTACCACCACTACCACAACTACCACCACAACCACCACCACAACCACCACCACAACCACCACCACAACCACCACTATCACCACAACCACCACTACCACCACAACCACCACGACCACAACAACCACTACCACCACTACCACCACTACCACCACCACAACCACCACTACCACCACTACCACCACCACTACCACCACTACCACCACCCCAACCACCACAACCACCACTACCACCACTACCACCACCACTACCACCACTACCACCACTACCACCACCACAACCACCACAACCACCACTACCACCACTACCACCACCACTACCACCACTACCACCACTACCACCACAACCACCACTACCACCACAACCACTACCACCACCACTACCACCACTACCACCACCACAACCTCCACAACCACCACCACAACAACCACTACGACCACTACCACCACCACCACAACCACCACCACCACAACCACCACTACCACCACCACAACCACCACTACCACCACTACCACCACCACAACAACCACTACCACCACTACCACCACAGCCACCACCACAACAACAACCACCACAACCACCACAACAACCAATACAACCACCACACCCACCACCACAACCACCACCACAACCACCACAACCACCACCACCAGTACTAGCACCACTACCACCACAACCACCACAACAAGCACTAAAACAACCACCACAACAACCACTACAACAACCACCACTACCACCACCACAACTACAACCACCACCACCACAATCACCACTACCACCATTACCACCACCACCACTACCACAACAACCACCACAACCACCACAACCACCACAATCACCACCACCACAACCACCACCACTACCACCACAATAACCACCACTACCACCACTACCACCACCACCACAATAACCACCACAACCACCACAACCACCACTACCACCACTACCACCACAGCCACCACTACGACCACTACCACAACAACCACCACCACAACCACCACCACAACAACCACCACCACAACCACCACCACAACCAACACAACCACCACTACCACCACAACCACCACCACAACAACAACTACTGCAACCACCACTACCACCAACACAACCACCACAACCACCACCACTACCACCAACACACCCACAACTATCACCACTACCACCACAACCACCACCACTACCACCAACACAACCACCACTACCACCACAACCATCACTACCACCACAACCACCACCACAACAACCACCACAACCAACACACCCACCACTACCACCACTACCACCACCACAACCACCACTACCACCACCACAACCACCACCACCACTACCACCACAACAAAGATCCCCCATATAGCCTTAAGATACTGTAGGGGCAAGTGCTGTTAGCGAGCACCTATGAAGGCCGGAACGGCACACGAGGGGGTGGGTGGCCAGCACCACGCCCGACCGCCTTTGTCTCCCTAGTGGCGATGTTTTACACACCGCACCAGGTACTCATTTGAGGCTGAGTCGACCTAGGGGAGGCCCGGGACCAGTTCAGATTATCGTCACTGGTGTTGGCCGTGAGCGGGAATCGAACCCGTGTCGCCAGGTTCATAGCGCAGCGTAGCGCTAACCACTACACTATCACCACCATCACCACAACAACCACTACCACCACAACAACCACTACCACCATAACAACCACTACCACCGCAACAACCACCATGATGATGATGATGGTGGTGTTGGTGATGGTGATGATGTTGATGATGATGATAGTGATGATGTTGATGATGATGTTGGTGATGTTGATGATGGTGGTGATGTTGATGATGGTGGTGCTGTTGATGATGGTGGTGGTGATGTTGATGATGATGGTGGTGATGATGATGGTGGTGATGTTGATGATGATGGTGGTGATGTTGATGATGGTGTTGATGGTGGTGGTGATGTTGATGATGGTGGTGATGATGGTGGTGATGTTGATGATGGTGGTGATGTTGATGATGGTGGTGGTGATGATGATGGTGGTGATTTTGATGATGGTGGTGGTGATGATGATGGTGGTGATGTTGATGATGGTGGTGATGTTGATTATGGTGGTGATGATGATGATGATGGTGGTGATGTTGATGATGGTGGCGGCGGTGATGATGATGTTGATGGTGGTGGCGACGATGATGTTGATGGTGGTGATGTTGATGATGAGGATGGTGGCGATGATGATGTTGATGGTTGTAAAGGTGATGATGATGATGGTGGTGGTTGTGATGATGGCGATGATGGTTGCATTGATGATGGTGGTGGTGGTGATGATGTTGATGATGAGGATGGTGGCGATGATGATGTTGATGGTGGTGATGTTGATGTTGATGGTTGTAAAGGTGATGATGATGGTGATGTTGCTGGTTGTGATGATGGCGATGATGGTTGCATTGATGATGATGGTGGTGGTGGTGATGATGTTGATGGTTGTAAAGGTGATGATGATGGTGATGTTGCTGGTTGTGATGATGGCGATGATGGTTGCATTGATGATGATGGTGGTGGTGGTGATGATGAGGATGGTGGCGATGATGATGTTGATGGTTGTAAAGGTGATGATGATGTTGCTGGTTGTGATGATGGCGATGATGGTTGCATTGATGATGATGATGGTGGTGGTGGTGATGTTGATGGTGGTGGTGGTGATGTTGATGGTGGTGGTGGTGGTGATGTTGATGATGGTGGTGGTGGTGATGATGATGATGGTGGTGGTGATGTTGATGATGATGATGGTGGTGGTGGTGATGTTGATGGTTGTAAAGGTGATGATGATGGTGATGATGGTGATGATGTTGATGATGATGGTGGTGGTGATGTTGATGATGATGATGGTGGTGGTGGTGATGTTGTTGATGATGATGTTGGTGGTGGTGGTGGTGATGTTGTTGATGATGATGTTGGTGGTGGTGGTGATGTTGTTGATGATGGTGGTGGTGGTGGTGTTGTTGTGCTACAGATGTGCAGGTTGATGTCACTTACAACACAGATGGCTCCTTCACCATGCAGGTGTGTGTGTACACTGTGTGTGTGTGTGTACACTGTGTGTGTGTGTGTACACTGTGTGTGTGTACACTGTGTGTGTGTGTGTACACTGTGTGTGTGTACACTGTGTGTGTGTACACTGTGTGTGTGTGTACACTGTGTGTGTACACTGTGTGTGTACACTGTGTGTGTGTACTGTGTGTGTACACTGTGTGTGTGTACACTGTGTGTGTGTACACTGTGTGTGTGTACACTGTGTGTGTGTACACTGTGTGTGTGCGTGTGTACACTGTGTGTGTGTACACTGTGTGTGTACACTGTGTGTACACTGTGTGTGTGTACGTGTGTGTGTGTACACTGTGTGTGTACACTGTGTGTGTACACTGTGTGTGTGTACACTGTGTGTGTACACTGTGTGTGTGTACACTGTGTGTGTGTACACTGTGTGTGTACTGTGTGTGTGTGTGTACACTGTGTGTGTACACTGTGTGTGTGTACACTGTGTGTGTGTACACTGTGTGTGTGTACACTGTGTGTGTGTGTGTACACTGTGTGTGTGTACACTGTGTGTGTGTGTACACTGTGTGTGTGTGTACACTGTGTGTGTACTGTGTGTGTGTACTGTGTGTGTGTACCCTGTGTATGTGTACTGTGTGTGTGTACCCTGTGTATGTGTACTGTGTGTGTGTACCCTGTGTATGTGTACTGTGTGTGTGTACTGTGTGTGTGTGTACACTGTGTATGTACACTGTGTGTGTGTACTGTGTGTGTACACTCTGTGTGTGTGTACACTGTGTGTGTGTACTGTGTGTGTGTGTACTGTGTGTGTGTACACTGTGTGTGTGTACACTGTGTGTGTGTACTGTGTGTGTGTGTGTACGTGTGTGTGTGTGTACACTGTGTGTGTGTACTGTGTGTGTGTACTGTGTGTGTGTGTGTACTGTGTGTGTGTACACTGTGTGTGTGTGTGTACACTGTGTGTGTGTGTACACTGTGTGTGTGTACTGTGTGTGTGTACTGTGTGTGTGTACCCTGTGTATGTGTACTGTGTGTGTGTACCCTGTGTATGTGTACTGTGTGTGTGTGCTGTGTGTGTGTGTGTACACTGTGTGTGTGTGTACTGTGTGTGTGTACCCTGTGTGTGTACACTGTGTGTGTGTACACTGTGTGTGTGTGTACACTGTGTGTGTGTGTGTACACTGTGTGTGTACACTGTGTGTGTGTACACTGTGTGTGTACACTGTGTGTGTGTACGTCTGTGTGTGTGTGTGTACGTCTGTGTGTGTGTGTGTACGTCTGTGTGTGTGTGTGTACGTCTGTGTGTGTGTGTGTGTACGTCTGTGTGTGTGTGTACGTCTGTGTGTGTGTGTGTGTACGTCTGTGTGTGTGTACGTCTGTGTACGTGTGTGTACGTCTGTGTACGTGTGTGTACACTGTGTACGTGTGTGTATGTGTACACTGTGTGTGTGTACACTGTGTGTGTACACTGTGTGTGTGTACGTCTGTGTGTGTGTGTACACTGTGTACGTGTGTGCCTGTGTGTACACGTGCGTGTGTGTGCCTGTGTGTACACGTGCGTGTGTGTACGTGTGTGCGTGCGTGTGTACGTGTGTGCGTGTGCACGTGTTGTGTGTGTGTGTGTGTGGGGAACGGTGTGTGTGGGGAACGGTGGGTGTAGTGGTTAGCGCTACGCTGTGCTCCGAACCTGGTGACCCGAGTTCAATTCCTGCTCACGGCCAACACTGGCGGTGACAATGATCTGAACCGGTCCCGGGCCTCTCCTAGGTCAACTCGGCCTAAAATGAGTACCTGGTGTAGCGGTGTGTAGTAAACATCGCCACTGGGGAGACAAAGGCGGCCGGGCGTGGTGCTGGCCACCCAGCCCCTCGTGTGCCACAGTGCCGGTAGCCTTCATAGGTGCTGCTCGCTAACAGCACTTGCCCCTGAAGTCTGTTAGAGACTACACGGGGGATCTTTGTCTTTGTGCGTACACGTGTGTGTGTGTGCGCGTGCGTGTGGTTTGCGTGTGTATGGTGTGTGCGTGTGCGTGGTGTGTGTACGCGTGGTGCGTGTGTGCGCGTGTGTGTGTGTGGTGTGTGTGTGTGTGCGTGTGTGCGCGTGTGTGTGTGCGCGTGCGTGTGTGTGTGGTGTGTGTGTGCACGTGTGTGTTTATGGTGTGTGCGTGTGTGCGCGTGCGTGTTGTGTGTATGTGTGCGTGTGTGTATGGTGTGTGCGTGTGTGTGCGCATGTGTGCGTGTGTGTGCGTGTGTGGTGTGTGTGTGCGCGTGTGTTTATGGTGTGTGCGCGTGTGTGTGTGCGTGTGTGCGCGTGTGTGTGTGTGCATGTGTGTGTGTATGGTGTGTGCGTGTGTGGTGTGTGTGTGCGTATGCGCGTGTGGTGTGTATGTGTGTGTGCGTGTGCTCTTGTATGGTGAGTGCGTGTGCGCGTGGTGTGTGTGTGTGCGCGTGGTGTGTTAGTGCGCGTGTGTGTGTGGGTGTATGGTGTGTGGTGTGTGCGTATGCGCGTGTGGTGTGTATGTGTGTGTGTGCGCGTGTGTGTGTATGGTGAGTGCGCGTGTGTGGTGTGTGTGCGCGTGTGTGTGTATGGTGTGTGTGTGCGCGTGGTGTGTGTGGTGTGTGTGTGCGCGTGGTGTGTGTGTGCGTGTGGTGTGTGTGTGTGTGCGCGTGTATGTGTATGGTGTGTGTGTGCGCGCGTGGTGTGTTAGTGCGCGTGTGTGTGTATGGTGTGTGCGTGTGTGTGGCGTGCGTAGATCGGTGAGCAGTGTCACCGGGTGAGCGGTGAGCTGCTGGGTGAGGAGGTGATGCGGTGCCGGGTGGACGGCGTTGTCTGCCAGCTTCACCTCGTCTTTCACGAAGACAGCATCCACCTCCTCAGCACCGTTAGTCCAGCAGCAGCATCAGCAGCATCAGCAGCATCATCACCAGTGACATCAGCATCATCAGCATCATCATCATCATCGGCATCATCAGCAGCAGCAGCAGCATCAGCATCATCAGCAGCAGCATCATCACCAGTGACATCAGCATCATCAGCATCATCATCATCGGCATCATCAGCAGCATCAACACCGGGATTACCATCATTAGCAGCATCATCAGCCGTGGCATCAGCTGCAATTTCATCATCATCATCATCAGCAACAATGTTGTCATCATCATCACTATCATCATCAGCAGCATAATCAGCTGTGTGTGTGATGATGCATGCCAGGTGCTACAGGCTCTCTGTGTGTGATGATGCATGCCAGGTGCTACAGGCTGTCTGTGTGTGTTGATGCATGCCAGGTGCTACAGGCTCTCTGTGTGTGTGATGATGCATGCCAGGTGCTACAGGCTCTCTGTGTGTGTTGATGCATGCCAGGTGCTACAGGCTGTCTGTGTGTGTTGATGCATGCCAGGTGCTACAGGCTCTGTGTGTGTGTGTGATGATGCATGCCAGGTGCTACAGGCTCTCTGTGTGTGTCTGATGATGCATGCCAGGTGCTACAGGCTCTCTGTGTGTGTTGATGCATGCCAGGTGCTACAGGCTCTCTGTGTGTGTGATGATGCATGCCAGGTGCTACAGGCTCTCTGTGTGTGTTGATGCATGCCAGGTGCTACAGGCTGTCTGTGTGTGTTGATGCATGCCAGGTGCTACAGGCTCTGTGTGTGTGTGATGATGCATGCCAGGTGCTACAGGCTCTCTGTGTGTGTCTGATGATGCATGCCAGGTGCTACAGGCTCTCTGTGTGTGTCTGATGATGCATGCCAGGTGCTACAGGCTCTCTGTGTGTGTCTGATGATGCATGCCAGGTGCTACAGGCTCTCTGTGTGTGTGATGATGCATGCCAGGTGCTACAGGCTGTCTGTTTGTGTGATGATGCATGCCAGGTGCTACAGGCTCTCTGTGTGTGTGATGATGCATGCCAGGTGCTACAGGCTGTCTGTGTGTGTGTGCTACAGGCTCTCTCTCTGTGTGTGCTACAGGCTGTCTCTGTGTGTGTGCTACAGGCTCTCTGTGTGTGTGCTACAGGCTGTCTGTGTGTGTGTGTGTGCTACAGGCTCTCTGTGTGTGTGTGTGCTACAGGCTCTGTGTGTGTGTGTGTGCTACAGGCTGTCTGTGTGTGTGTGCTACAGGCTCTGTGTGTGTGTGTGCTACAGGCTGTCTGTGTGTGTGTGTGCTACAGGCTCTCTCTGTGTGTGTGTGCTACAGGCTGTGTGTGTGCTACAGGCTGTCTCTGTGTGTGCTACAGGCTCTCTGTGTGTGTGTGTGCTACAGGCTGTCTGTGTGTGTGCTACAGGCTGTCTGTGTGTGTGTGTGCTACAGGCTGTCTGTGTGTGTGTGCTACAGGCTGTCTGTGTGTGTGTGCTACAGGCTCTCTGTGTGTGTGTGTGCTACAGGCTGTCTGTGTGTGTGCTACAGGCTCTCTCTCTCTCTGTGTGTGCTACAGGCTCTCTCTGTGTGTGTGTGCTACAGGCTCTCTCTGTGTGTGTGTGCTACAGGCTGTCTGTGTGTGTGTGTGTGCTACAGGCTCTCTCTCTGTGTGTGCTACAGGCTCTCTCTCTCTCTGTGTGTGTGTGTGCTACAGGCTGTCTGTGTGTGTGTGTGCTACAGGCTCTCTCTGTGTGTGTGTGCTACAGGCTCTCTCTGTATGTGTGTGCTACAGGCTGTCTGTGTGTGTGCTACAGACTCTCTCTCTGTGTGTGTGTGCTACAGGCTCTCTGTGTGTGTGTGTGTGCTACAGGCTGTCTATGTGTGTGTGCTACAGACTCTCTCTGTGTGTGTGCTACAGACTCTCTCTGTGTGTGTGCTACAGGCTGTCTGTGTGTGTGCTACAGGCTCTCTCTGTCTGTGTGCTACAGGCTGTCTGTGTGTGTGCTACAGGCTCTCTCTGTGTGTGTGCTACAGGCTGTCTGTGTGTGTGTGCTACAGGCTCTCTTTGTGTGTGTGTGCTACAGACTCTCTCTGTGTGTGTGCTACAGGCTGTGTGTGTGTGCTACAGGCTGTGTGTGTGTGCTACAGGCTGTGTGTGTGTGCTACAGGCTCTCTCTGTGTGTGTGTGCTACAGGCTGGATGCGTCTGCATCTCGGTTCCCGTTCCGCATTTCGTCTCCGCCACGGCTGCTTCCCCCACCGCCATCGCCGGAGCCGTCGCCCCCATGGCCGGCACCATCGAGAAGGTGACGTTGCCGTGGTTACCGTCGGTGAAGGTGACGTTGTCGTGGTTACCGTCGGCGAAGGTGACGTCGCCACGGTTACCGTCGGTGAAGGTGACGTCGCCATGGTTACCGTCGGTGGTGACGTCGCCGCGGTTACCGTTGGAGGTGACGTTGCCGTGGTTACCGTCGGCGAAGGTGACGTCGCCGCGGTTACCATCGTTGAAGGTGACGTTGCCGCGGTTACCGTCGGCGAAGGTGACGTCGTCGTGGTTACCGTCGTTGAAGGTGACATTGCCGCGGTTACCGTCGTTGAAGGTGACGTTGCCGCGGTTACCGTCGGCGAAGGTGATGTCGCCGTGGTTACCGTCGGTGAAGGTGACGTTGCCGCGGTTACCGTCGTGAAGGTGACGTTGCCGCGGTTTTTCCCGTGTGGTTACCGTCGGTGAATGTGACGTTGCCACGGTTACCGTCGGTGAAGGTTACGTTGCCACGGTTTTTCCCGTGCGGTTACCATCGGTAAAGGTGACGTTGCCACGGTAATACCGCTCAGTCGCGACGATTTTCGTGGTGATGGTGATTGTCATGGTGGTGGTGGTGATGGTGATGGTGGTGGTGATAATTTTTTGGTGACGATTTTCGTGGTGATGGTGGTGGTGATGATGGTGGTGATGGTGGGTGGTGATGGTGGTGATGATGGTGGGTGGTGATGGTGGGTGGTGATGGTGGTGGTGATGGTGGGTGGTGATGGTGGTGGTGATGGTGGTGATGGTGGGTGGTGATGGTGGTGGTGATGATGAACATCTGCTGGACTACATAGTGACGGACCAGCGAATGCGAGCCCATGTCCTTGACACCAGGACCTACCGTGGAGCTGATCTGCCCTCTGACCATCGACTAGTCATCTGTAAGATGCGCCTGCCATTCTTCCACTCCGGTGGTGGGTGTACACCCAGGACCCCATTCCGACCTAAAGTGGCCTGGTCTCAGTTATCTGATGAAAGTTGCAAGCGAGAATTTCATCATGGCTTGCGGCTGGGATTGGCATCGTCCCCGACTCCTCCTGATGTCGAGGGTAAATGGGCGAGGTTTAGGACTGTGACTCATGCAGCTGCAATGGCTGCTTTAGGTACGCGGTCCAGACCTCCCCAGAGACCCTGGCTGACAGAGGAGGTGTTCAGGATGGTTGAGAAAAAGCGACAGGCCCACTGTCATCGGCTACAGAATCCCACGTCAGAGAATGAGGAGGCTTACCGCAGCCTTCGCTCGGAGGTTCGGAGAGCCGTGAGGCGCTGCAAGGATGGGTGGTGGTCACGGGTTGCTGAGGAGATGGAGTCTGCCTCAGTGGCCCGTGATCACAAATCTCTATTTAACTCCATCAAAAAAGTAACCTGCAGCGCCACACCTATTACCATCATTAGGGGAAAAAACGGTGATCCAATCTCCGACCCCCAGGAACAGGTTTGCAGATTTGCTGAGCATTTCTGTGAGGTCCTGGGGAAGAGAAAATCCCTCAGCCAGGAAAACATCGTGGCACAAAGTGAGGATGACCCTGCTGAGGCTGCGGTGCCTCAAATATTGGAAGAAGTCACCCCCTGTGAGTGGCTGGCTGAGGTGCCATCTGTTGAGGAAGTACTGAAGGCGATCCGGAGTCTGAGACCAGGAAAAGGCAGCGGGCAGAGATGATCTCCCAAGCGAAATGCTGAGGGAGGGTGGCGTTTGTGCACAGACTGCCCTATATGACATCATAACAACATTCTGGACCACTGGACGGGTTCCGCAGGATTGGAAGGATGCCCTGGTGGTCCCCCTCTTTAAGAAGGGGGACCGCACAGACTGTAACAACTACAGGGGCATCTCACTCCTCTGTACCGGGAAAGGTCCTGGCAAGGATTATTCAGCATCGCCTTGCCAGGCACGCTGAGGAGAGGCTTGCGGAGCCCCAATGCGGTTTCAGGAAAGGGCGGTCCTGCACAGATGCCATATTTTCTGTCCATCTGCTACAGCAGAGGTGTAGGGAATTCCAACAAGACCTGCATCTCTGCTTTATTGACCTGGTCAAGGCCTATGATACCATCAGTAGGCCTGGGCTCTGGGTCGTTCTTCGTGCTTTTGGAGTACCTGACCCTCTGCTCACTATCATTAAGGACCTTCATGATGGTGAGCGGGCCCGGGTAAAACTACGTGGCCGGGAGTCAGAGCCATTCCCTGTACACCTTGGGGTGCGACAGGGATGTCCTCTGGCTCCCACATTATTTAACATCTATTTTGACCACGTAGTTCGTGAAGCCTTCAATAGCTGTACCGGGGGAATCTCCATATGGTACAGATATAATGGGAGGCTGATCGATGCCCGGGTGCGGTCAAGGGATGGCTCCCTAATGCTCAACCATGTTACGTATGCCGATGATTTGGTAATAGCTGCTCATTCAGAGGAGGAGTTGGAGACGCTGCTGCTGAGACTGGAGCGTGCAACTAAGAGATGGGGCCTTACCATCAGCCCCACCAAAACTAAGCACCTGCCTGGGTATTTTGTACCATCGGACACTCCACCCCCACAACTCCCAATCGGTGATGGGGCAGTTGTGGAGAGAGTGGAGAGTTTCCCATACCTGGGCAGTGTGCTTATGACTGGCTCCAGTTTAACAGCAGAGGCCTCACTCCGAATCAGTCGAGCGGCAATATCTTTTCATCGGTTGCGTAATGCTGTGTGGAAGCTACCTGGTCTGTCGCTCCGCACTAAGCTTCAGGTCTTCTCGGCCACGGTCATTCCCTCACTTCTCTACGCTTGCGAAACGTGGACCCCCCTAATGGAACATCTTGGCCGGTTAGAAACATTTAGGCTGGCCTGCCTACGATCCATCCTGGGTTTAACCAGACTGGATTGTGTGAGGAGCTCACAAATCCTTGAAAGATCTGGGCAAGGTCCCATCGGTGAGCTCCTCCGGCAGGCAAGGCTGCGATGGCTGGGTCATGTAGCCCGCATGCCCAGCCACCGCATGCCGAAACAGCTTTTGTTCGGCCGGATTGAGGGGGCTAAGCGGGCGCGGCACGGGCTAGAGAAGAGATGGAGTGATGTGGTACAGGAGGACTTATAGCTGAGTGGACTTGCCGATGACTGGTACCAGCGGTGTCAAGATCGGCCTCTGTGGAGGAGGCTCGTGAAGGATGCTACTGGGCAGTTGGAGGTAGTCGCCCTCCAACAACAACGGAGGGCGGAGGAGCGACGCTCAGAACAACGAGCGGAGCGCCGGGTGGCTAAAGCACAGCAGGTTGGCACAGTAGGGGGCACAGGTGGTGCATCAGCCAGTCATCTCAGTCAGTCGACCCGTGGCACCTGGGTCTGCCCCGTGACCTCCTGCCAGCGGGCGTTCGACACTTCACGTGGCCTCAGGGTGCACATAGCCTGGCACAAGCGTCGTGGTGACGTCACCGCCACTTAGTGGCGAATGGCGGTTGTTGTTGATGGTGGTGGTGATGTTGGTTATGGTGGTGATGGTGGGTGGTGATGGTGGTGGTGATGATGGTGGTGGTGGTGGGTGGTGATGGTGATGATGGTGGTGGTGATGGTGGTGATGGTGGGTGGTGATGGTGGGTGGTGATGATGGTGGGTGGTGATGGTGGGTGTGATGATGGTGGTGGTTATGGTTGGTGATGATGGTGGGTGGTAATGGTGGTGGTGGTGATGATGGTGGGTGGTGATGGTGGGTGGTGATGGTGATGATGGTGGTGATGGTGGGTGGTGATGGTGGTGGTGATGGTGGGTGGAGATGGTGGTGGTGATGGTGGTGTTGATGGTGGTGGTTATGGTGGTGATGGTGGGTGGCGATGGTGGTGGTGATGATGGTGGGTGGTGATGGTGATGGGTGGTGGTGGTGGTGATGATGGTGGGTGGTGATGGTGGTGGTGATGATGGTGGGTGGTGATGGTAGTGGTGGTGGTGATGATGGTGGGTGGTGATGGTGGTGTTGATTGTGTTGTGTTTATTAATGTGGTGGTGATGGTGTTCATGATGATGGAGGGAGCGGTGGGTGTGGTGGTTAGCGCTACTCTGCGCTACGAACTCGGTGACCCGAGTTCGATTCCCGTTCCCGGCCAACACCGGTGACGATTATCTGAACCGGTCCTGGGCCTCCCCTAGGTCGACTCAGCCTCAAACGAGTACCTGGTGCAGTGCGTAGTAAACATCGTCGTTGGGGGAGACAAAGGCGGCCGGGCGTGGTGCTGGGCACCCACCCCCTCGTGTGCCACAGTGCCGGTAGCCTTCATAGGTGCTGCTCGCTAACAGCACTTGCTCCTACAGTCTATTAGAGGCTACACGGGGGATCTTTGTCTGTGTCTACCTTCACAGGTGCTGCTGCTACTCGCTACTAACAGCACTTGCCCCTGCAGTCTGTTAGAGGCTACATGGGGGATCTTTGTCTGTGTCTACCTTCACAGGTGCTGCTGCTACTCGCTACTAACAGCACTTGCCCCTGCAGTCTGTTAGAGGCTACACGGGGGATCTTTGTCTGTGTCTACCTTCACAGGTGCTGCTGCTACTCGCTACTCACAGCACTTGCCCCTACAGTCTGTTAGAGGCTACACGGGGGATCTCTGTGGTTGTTAGTGATGGTGATGGTGTTGTTGGTGATGGTGCAGGTGATGGTGAAAGTGGGTGATGTGGTTCAAGCCGGGGATCCGCTCATCATCATGAACGCAATGAAGATGGAGGTGAGAATGCACGCACACACACACACACGGGTACAGCCGCAATACTCCACCCAGTGATGGTGCCAGGCTAGGTGCACTTTGATGGAGGCTTTGACGTGAAGTGTGGAAGGCTCTTGCTGCTGGCAGGAGGTCACGGGACAGACCCAGCAGGTGACGTGGGTTGCCTGCTGTGCCAGGCTAGGTGCAGGAGGTCACGGGACAGACCCAGCATGTGCCATGGGTTGACTGCTGTGCCAGGCTAGGTGCAGGAGGTCACGGGACAGACCCAGGTGACGTGGGTTGACTGCTGTGCCAGGCTAGGTGTAGGTCACGGGACAGACCCAGCATGTGCCATGGGTTGACTGCTGTGCCAGGCTAGGTGCAGGAGGTCACGGGACAGACCCAGTAGGTGACGTGGGTTGACTGCCGTGCCAGGCTAGGTGCAGGAGGTCACGGGACAGACCCAGTAGGTGCCGTGGGTTGACTGCTGTGCCAGGCTAGGTGCAGGAGGTCACGGGGCAGACCCAGCAGGTGACGTGGGTTGACTGCTGTGCCAGGCTAGGTGCAGGAGGTCACGGGACAGACCCAGCAGGTGACGTGGGTTGACTGCTGTGCCAGGCTAGGTGCAGGGTGTCACGGGACAGACCGAGGTGCCGTGGGTTGACTGCTGTGCCAGGCTAGGTGCAGGAGGTCACGGGACAGACCCAGGTGACGTGGGTTGACTGCTGTGCCAGGCTAGGTGCAGGAGGTCACGGGACAGACCCAGGTGCCATGGGTTAACTTCTGTGCCAGGCTAGGTGCAGGAGGTCACGGGACAGACCCAGCAGGTGCCGTGGGTTGACTGCTGTGCCAGGCTAGGTGCAGGTCACAGGACAGACTCAGGTGAGCGGTGAATTGAACTCTGGTCGCCGGCTTCGAAGCTCAGCGTAGCGCTAACCGCTGCACCACCGCTCCCGACTCCTTCCCCCGCATCCCCGATTAGCGTGATTGGCTACGTATGGTGCAAAAGAAGTTCAACATACATACACACACACACTCACTCTTCGACACACACTCGCACTCACCCACTCACAGACACACACTCACTCGCCCACACTCACCCACTCGCCCACACACACTCGCCCACACACACTCACACACACACACTCACCCACACACACACACACTCACCCACTCACACTCGCCCACACACACTCACACTTTCCCACACACACTCGCCCACACTCACACACACTTGCCCACTCACACACTTGCCCACACACACACTTTCCCACACACACTTGCCCACAAACACACTTGCCCACACACACACTCGCCCACACACACACTCATACACTTGCCCACAAACACACTCGCCCACACACACACACTTTCCCACACACACTTGCCCACTCACACTTGCCCACTCACACTTGCCCACAAACACACTCGCCCACACACACAAACACACTCGCCCACACACACACATACACTCGCCCACACATACACTCGCCCACACACACACTCGCCCACACACACACTCACACACACTTGCCCACACACACACTCACTCGCTCACACACTCACTTGCCCACTCACACACACTTGCCCACTCACACACTCACTCGCCCACACACACACACTCACTCGCCCACACACTCACACACACTTGTCCACTCACACACACTTGCCCACACACACACACTTGCCCACACACACACTTGCCCACCCACACACTCACTCGCCCACACACACACTCACACTCGCCCACACACACTTGCCCACAGACCACTCATTATTCCCATCCTCTCCCTCTCCCCCATGCCCCCCCCCACCCCCGCAGCACACGATCCGTGCCCCCCGCGGGGGCCGTGTGAAGGCCGTGCTCTTTGCCGAGGGGGCCCAGGCGGCGCGCCACGCCGCCCTCGTGCGCTTCCACGAAGACGCCGAGGCGACGGGGGACGCCGCAGCCCCCCCTCAGGCCTGAAGCCTGCCGCTGCACTGAGTAGCCGAGGCCTGAAGCCTGCCGCTCCACTGAGTAGCCGAGGCCTGAAGCCTGCCGCTGCACTGAGAAGCCGAGGCCTGAAGCCTGCCACTCATCAGAGTAGCCGAGGCCTGAAGCCTGCCGCTGCACTGGGCAGCCGAGGCCTTAAGCCTGCCGCTCTACTGAGTAGCCAAGGCCTGAAGCCTGCCGCTCCACTGAGAAGCCGAGGCCTGAAGCCTGCCGCTCTACTGAATAGCCAAGGCCTGAAGCCTGCCGCTCTACTGAGTAGCCGAGGCCTGAAGCCTGCCGCTCCACTGAGTAGCTAAGGCCTGAAGCCTGCCACTCATCAGAGTAGCCAAGGCCTGATGCCTGCCGCTCCACTGAGTAGCCAAGGCCTGAAGCTCCACTGAGTAGCCAAGGCCTGAAGCCTGCCGCTCCACTGAGTAGCCAAGGCCTGATGCCTGCCGCTCCACTGAGTAGCCAAGGCCTGAAGCCTGCCGCTCCACTGAGTAGCCAAGGCCTGAAGCTCCACTGAGTAGCCAAGGCCTGAAGCCTGCCGCTCCACTGAGAGCCACGGCCTGAAGCCTGCCGCTCATCAGAGTAGCCAAGGCATAAAGCCTGCCGCTCCACTGAGTAGCCACGGCCTGAAGCCTGCCGCTCATCAGAGTAGCCAAGGCCTTAAGCCCGCCGCTCCACTGAGTAGCCAAGGCCTTGAGCCTGCCGATCCACTTGAAGCCAAGGCCTGAAGCCAGCCACTCATCAGAGTAGCCAAGGCCTGAAGCCAGCCACTCATCAGAGTAGCCAAGGCCTGAAGCCTGCCGCTCCACTGAGTAGCCAAGGCCTGAAGCCAGCCACTCATCAGAGTAGCCAAGGCCTGATGCCTGCCGATCCACTGAGAAGCCGAGGCCTGAAGCCTGCCGCTCCACTGAGTAGCCAAGGCCTTACGCCTGCCGCTCCACTGAGTAGCCAAGGCCTTAAGCCTGCCGCTCCACTGAGTAGCCAAGGCCTTAAGCCTGTCGCTCCACTGAGTAGCCAAGGCCTGATGCCTGCCGATCCACTGAGATGCCAAGGCCTGAAGCCCGCCGCTCCACTGAGTAGCCAAGGCCTTAAGCCTGCCGATCCACTTGAAGCCAAGGCCTGAAGCCAGCCACTCATCAGAGTAGCCAAGGCCTGAAGCCTGCCGCTCCACTGAGTAGCCAAGGCCTGAAGCCAGCCACTCATCAGAGTAGCCAAGGCCTTAAGCATGCCGCTCCACTGAGTAGCCAAGGCCTGAAGCCAGCTACTCATCAGAGTAGCCAAGGCCTTAAGCATGCCGCTCCACTGAGTAGCCAAGGCCTGAAGCCAGCCACTCATCAGAGTAGCCAAGGCCTTAAGCATGCCGATCCACTGAGAAGCCAAGGCCTGAAGCCTGCCGCTCCACTGAGTAGCCAAGGCCTGACGCTCCGAGTAGTCAAGGCCTGAAGCCTGCCGTTTTCCTGGGTGGTTTTAGGCCTGAAGCCTGCCACTCTCCTGGGTCACGACAGGCCTCAAGCCTGCCGCTTTCCTTTTAAGCTATGGCCCTGAAGCCTGTCGCTATCCTGGGCAGTTGTGGACCTGAAGCATGTCGCTATCCTGGGTAGTTTGTAGACCTGTGGTTTTGTTTTGTGGTTACTCATTTCAAATTCGTCGTTCACCGATTGAACGAGCAGCTTAGGGAACAAAAGTGAACGCGATTTCTAGCATCGGTGGAACGTTGACTCCATCCGTGCGGGGTTTCTTTCGAGTGCCTGACCCACCCACCCACCAACCAACCACCCAACCATCCACCCACCCACCAACCAACCACCAACCACCCACCAACCCACCAACCACCCACCACCGCTTGCACGTACGCGTGCCCCGCTTTTCTCCGGTTTCCACGCCACGCAACTCCATTCGTTGCGCTTTGCAAAAATAAAATAAAAAAATAAAAGGATCTGGCCGACGGTTTACCCGCACCCTCGCCCCGAACAACGCAACGGTCCGCAGGCTCGGAGAGAGCTCACGATGGGCGGGTTTTTTCATCGGAACGAAGCTCCCCGCTTTAGTTTTAACGCTGAGGCGTACGCGACCAACGTTATTCACGATAAATGTGTTTTTTTTTTCATGGTTCGCGCGCGGGAGGTTTGTCGCGCGAGCAAAGCGCCGATTGGTGGGACTACCTTCAGCCCCCCCACCGGGTGCGTTGGGAGAGCAAATCCGCACAGATTCAACAATTTGAGTAACGACGTTGTGGAAAATCGCCCGATCCGATGCTGTGGATGCAATCACCCAGCAACACTGGTGGGGCTAAAGTAGTACACTTGCACTATATATGTACTGCTCCCTACGCTACACCGTATTGGTACACTTGTGGTGGACGTGCAAACCAAAGGTGTTGGCGTGGCTGGGGCCAAGCAATTGAAGGTTGGCGGTGGCGGTCTCGCCGTCCAGGAAATTTTTCGTAATTTTTTTTTTCCGGAGATCAGGGGCCGTCCGTACATGACGTCACGCGATTTTTGACGATTTTTTGACCCCCCCCCTAATTACACGACGTCACAAAAAGTCAGACCCCCCCCTCTCTGAAATATGACATCACAAAGCTCTGACCCACCCCCCCCCCAAAAAAAAATAATTAAGCATGCTTCAAATTGAATTTTGATTTAAAGCTTTCGTGACTGCAGGGATTTATATTCTTGGTTCTTTCGGTAAAGTCGCCACGCTTTTAAGGTGGCTTTCAGACCGCATCCATAGATGGTGGACTCGTCCATCTGAGCAAACTTGACAAATCGCTCTCCGTGGTGCTGACGTTAAAAATAATTTAAAAAACGCCACTTTTTTTTTTAAACAAATTTTCTTGCTGTGGCTTTCACACCCGAAACGTCGCGAGAATGTTATCGTTTTATATTTGTATTATTTTATTGTTTCCCCTTCTACGTGGTGGTGACTTTACCGAAAGAACCAAGAATGTGCTTCGAGTTGCTTTAAACTATTGTCGTCATTGTAGTGCGTATTTAACGTGGCGCTGTACTTTGATGTTGTAGGAGAAAACATTAAAAAGTCTATTTCATTAAGTAGAACGTGTCGTCTATAGTTATTTGAAGTTGCGCGTTTTGATGTGACGTCACATTTCTCAAAACCCCTCCCCCCACTCGTCACACATCGTCACAAATGTTTGACCCCACCCCTAGGGGCGTGACGTCATTTATGGGCGGCCCCTTAAACTTTACCCGATTCGGATGGATTGTTGGTTTCGCGTGCGTGTGTGTGTGCGCGTGTGTGTGTGTGTATGTGTGTGTGTGCGTGTGTGTGTGTGTGCGCGTGTGTGCGCGTGTGTGTGCGCGTGTGTGTGCGCGTGTGTGTGCGCGTGTGTGCGTGTGTGTGTACGTGTGTGTGTGTGTGCGCGTGTGTGTGTGCGTGTGTGTGTGTGCGCGTGTGTGCGCGTGTGCGTGTGTGTGTGTGCGCGTGTGTGCGCGTGTGCGTGTGTGCGCGTGTGCGCGTGTGTGTGTGTGCGTGTGTGTGTGCGTGTGTGTGTGTGCGCGTGTGTGTGTGTGTGCGCGTGTGTGTGTGCGTGCGCGTGTGTGTGCGCGTGTGCGTGTGTGTGTGCGTGTGTGTGTGCGTGTGTGTGTGCGTGTGTGTGTGCGTGTGTGTGTGTGTGCGCGTGTGTGTGCGCGTGTGCGTGTGTGCGCGTGTGTGTGCGCATGTCTGCGCGTGTGTGTGCGCGTGTGTGTGTGTGCGCGTGTGTGTGTGTGCGTGTGTGTGCGTGTGTGTGTGTGCGCGTGTGTGCGCGTGTGTGTGTGTGCGCGTGTGTGCGCGTGTGTTCCCTGGGTCGACTCCGCCTCGAATGAGGCGGCTGGGGAAACAAAGGCGGCCGGGCGTGGTGCTGGCCACCCACCCTCTCGTGTGCCACAGTGCCGGTAGCCTTCACAGGTGCTACTCGCTACTAACAGCACTTGCCCCTACAGTCTGTTAGAGGCTACACGGGGGATTGTTGTCTTTGTGTGTGCGGTTAATTGGTGACCGGGCTGAGACTGATCAGCTCACTGCACCTGAATACCCATTTTGATCTCAACTCAGTCCGTGGGTCTCTGTGTGTAAGTTTACGGATCTCTGTGTGTGTCTACGGGTCTCTGTGTGAGTCTACGGGTCTCTGTGTGTGGAGTCTATGGGTCTCTGTGTGAGTCTACGGGTCTCTGTGTGTGTCTACGGGTCTCTGTGTGAGTCTGCGGGTCTCTGTGTGTGTCTACGGGTCTCTGTGTGTGTCTACGGGTCTCTGTGTGAGTCTACGGGTCTCTGTGTGAGTCTATGGGTCTCTGTGTGAGTCTACGGGTCTCTGTGTGAGTCTATGGGTCTCTGTGTGAGTCTATGGGTCTCTGTGTGTGTCTACGGGTCTCTGTGTGAGTCTTCGGGTCTCTGTGTGAGTCTGTGGGTCTCTGTGTGAGTATGCGGGTCTCTACAGTGAGGGAAAAAAGTATTTGATCCCCTGCTGACTTTGTACGTTTGCCCACTGACAAAGACATGATCAGTCTATAATTTTAATGATAGGTTTATTTGAACAGTGAGAGACAGGATAACAACAAAAAAATCCAGAAACTATACAGCAGCAGCAGCAGCAGGCGTCGTCAGGGTCGGGATCGAACCCACGACCTCCTGCACACCAGGCGAGGTAGTCAACATCTCATAGCCACCGTGATGATGATGGGAGAGAGAGACTCCAAATATACAGCAGCAGGCGTCAGGGAGGTGGTGGTGGAGGTGGTGGAGGTGAAGTCTTGTTGGTGGTTGTGGTGGTGGAGTCGGTGATTATGGTTGTGGTGGTGGTGGTTATGGTGGTGGTGGTGGTTGTGGTGGTGGTGGAGTCATGGTTGGTGGAGCCGTAGATGGTGGAGGTGGTGGTAGTTATGGTGGTGGAGTCATTGGTGGTGGAGGTGGTGGGGTCTTGTTAGTAGTGGTGGAGGGGGTAGAGTAGCCGTCCGTGGTGGAAGTGGAGGTGGTGGAGTAGGAGGTGGTGGAGGTGGTGAAGGTGGTGGAGTCATTGGTGGTGGAGTGTTGTTAGTAGTGGTGGAGGTGGTGGAGTCGTCGTTGGTGGTGGTGGAGGTGGTGGAGGTGGTGGAGGTGGAGGTGGTTATGGTGGTGGAGTCATTGGTGGTGGAGTCTTGTTAGTAGTGGTGGAGGTGGTGGAGTCGTCGTTGGTGGAGGTGGTGGTGGAGGTGGAGGTGGTGGAGGTGGTGGAGGTGGTTATGGTGGTGGAGTCATTGGTGGTAGAGTGTTGTTAGTAGTGGTGGAGGTGGTGGAGTCGTCGTTAGTGGAGGTGGTGGAGGTGGTGGTGGTTATGGTGGTGGAGTCATTGGTGGTGGAGTGTT